ACGAGATCCTATCTGTCTGCGTCTCCATCCAGCAGCAGCAGCAGCACCACCACCACCACCACAACCAGCAGCATCACCAACAGCAGCAGCAGCAGCAGCAGCAGCAGCAAAACCTTCATTCGTGCTGCAGCGAGTCAGAGCAGCAGACATAGTCCCTGGGGAGCTGCTGCTGCTGCAGCAAGGAGACACACTAGCTGCTGATTTGCTGCTGCTGCATGGAGCTGTCTCCGTCGATGAATCCTCACTAACAGGAGAAACAAAACCCGTGCTGAAGCTGCCAGCAGCAGCAGCAGCAGCAGCAGCAGCAGCAGCAGCAGCAGCAGGAGCAGCAGGAGCAGAAGGAGAAGCAGCAGCAGGAGCAGCATCATCATCCCCCACCGCAGCAGCACCACCACCACCATCACCATCACCACCATCACCAACAGCAGCAGCAACAGCAGCAGCAGCAGCAGCAGCAGCAGCAGCAGCAGCAGCAGAATGGGGATACCCAGAGTGCAGCATAGCTGCAGAGACACCTGAAGAGCTGCTGTCTCCTTTGGCGTTGGTAGGCAGCAAATTGGGGTGTATCTACAGCTCCTCGTTGCTGCTGCACTGCAGCAGCAGCAGCAACTTAACAGTATATGCAGCAGCAGCAGCAGCAGCAGCAGATGCAGATGCAGCAGGAAATGCAGGGGAAGGGGGAAGTCCGTTGAAGCAGCAGCAGCAACTGCAGCAGCAGCAGCAGCAGCAGCAGCAGCAGCAGCAGCAGCAGCAGCAGCAGGTGTTAATGTACAAGGAGATAGAAGACCCCACAGATTTGCTGCTGCAGCAGGGTTGCTGCTGGGGTGTATGTGTACATACAGCTGGAAATACATACGAATCTCGTTTGCTGCAGCAGCAGCAGCAACTGCAGCAGCAGCAGCAGCAGCAGCAGCAGCAGCAGCAGGACTATCAACAGGAATTGATTCGTTTTAAATACGATAAACATTTTCCTTTTGTTTTATTTATTGTTATTCTTCTTTCTTTTTTATTTATTATAATACAAACCCCATTCATACAAACAAATACAGATATATTTCGTTTGGGGATAGATAGATTGCTGCGGCTGCTGCCGGTCTATCTACCAGCTCTGTGGGGCCTCACAGCCAGCATCAACGCACGCAGACTCAGCAGCAGCAGCAGCAGCAGCAGCAGCAGCAGCAGCAGCAGCAGCAGCAGCAGCAGGAGGAAGAGGGGTTGTGCTGCTGCAGTTTATCCTGGTTTGCTGCCGCTAGCAGCAAAAGTACAGATTATGTTTATCGATAAAACGGAGACACTCACAACAAAAAATATTTTTCTTTGTGGGGTGCTGCCGGTGAGTGATGCAGCATTTGAATCTATTATAACCTGCAGCAGCAGCAGCAGCAGCAGCAGCAGCAGCAGCAGCAGCAGCAGCAGCAGCGGCAGCGGAGGTGATGCGATAGAAGCACAACACAGAGATAGAGAGATAGATGCAGCAGAAGAATATATCAGCAGCCCATCTGCTGCTATTCCTGTAGATGATGATGAACAGCAGCAGCAGCAGCAGCAGCAGCAGCAGCAGCAGGAGCAGCAGCCGCTGCTGCTGCTGCAGCAGCAAGACAACCCCACACACGCGGGATCGGGATCGATGAACCTCCGCCTGCGGCAGTGCTTAGCCTGCTGCAACTCCTTGTGCTTCACACCTCACGGCGTAGCCAAGTGGGTGCAGCAGCAGCAGCAGCAGCAGCAGCAGCAGCAGCAGCAGAAGAAGAAGCAGCAGCAGCAGCAGCAGAAGACTGAGCTGGGAAGCAAACAAAAGAGAGTGTTTACGGGGGAGGAGATGCTGGCTATATATGAAGCAGCAAATCGCTCTTCTGCTGCTGCA